AAATATTTCACTATTGTCTTAGCTTGACTTATATGGTTGTGTATCTTTATTGGTTGTGTAAAGCGAGTATCCTTGTTTTAGCACAAACTATTGCTTCTGATTTTCCTAAGTTGAGCATGATTTAATATTTCTTATAATACCCATGTAACTATGTAATCCAGGTATATTTGCACTTGTTTCGCAGCGACTCTTGCGAGAGTATACAAGGAAAGAGTATACATTGTCGTGTCGTCTGTGGAAAATGCAAGTTTGGTCTTTGGAAATTTTATTATATCGTTGACACAAATATTAAATAATTGTGAACCAAGAACGGAATCCACCAAGCGAAATCTCTGCTTTAATGCAAGATATGAGTGTATCAGTCTTATGATTATGTATAGGCATTTAAGATTATTTCATTAGTCCACCGATCCACATCTTGTAAAATGTTTCTTCAATATCTAAAGGTACCATTATGGTGATTTTGTTACTATTTCTTCTAATACCATCGACAATTCTTACTACTTGCTGCACAGTGTTGTATTGTTCTCTGAATAAAAATTGCTCATTGATAACTTGCATCTGTTACTTTTCATGCTTTTCTACTTACTACTATCTTTTCTGTGATTGCTAAGGGTAGATTGGAGACTATTGGCATGTAGCTGGCAGGTTTTGCAGGATTCTTGCCAGGTTTTAATATTAGTGAAACTATGGAGGTACAGTACTTTGAGAAATAATCAATTTTGATAATTGCATTAATGTTTGCACTATAGTTTTTCGACTGATATTTTTCAGAGAAATATTTTGAATACTATTATCGTCAGGCGCTTTTAGGGAGGATAGACGTTTTTTTATGATTAATCTTCTTTATTTCAGCTGGCGAAATAATTACATTATTATTCATTAAGTCGCTTGTCATCTTTAAGGCACGTAGTTTCTTTCATTTTTATAATATCTTGTTGCTCAGGTGTGTTGTTGACTAATTCAGAGTTGTGTACTATTTCATACTAACGTGTTAACGTCTTCTGTTTTATCTGCGTCGGTTATTGCCTCCGGAGAGTTTTCTTCTAGAGTTAGGATGTTTTGATATTCCCTTTTGAACATTTTTGTTATTCTTCATAGGGATTCATCGTGAATGTTTTGTGAGTTGTTTGTCAAGACCAAATTTTTGTATTCGCTTATTAACTTTCAGATATGATGGATTTGTTGATTGCATATGTTTTTACATAATACATTCCCAGTCCATTGCAAGAGTCTTCTGATGCGGTTACGTTTTTTAGCTTTACTTTAGGTAAGATTTTTTAAAAAAATGTTGGTACGTTATTGGTAATTTTTTGTCGTCTATATTGTGTGTTTTGTTATTTATACACATTTTGTGATCCAATTTTTGCTTATATTTTGCTTCATCGGCATTCCCGTAGCACTCTTTTTCAAAGAAACTGTGTTTGTAGCAGTTGACAATTTTGAACAATATGGATTTTTGATCTGAGTCTAGATTATTTAGCACTTCGGACTCAAAAACGTTACTAACATTTTTATTTAGTGCCAGGTTAACAGTAGTTGTTTTGCTGCCATTCACTGGATACGTGATTTTACAGCAGTTTAAAAGGCTGTAGTTATATGACACAAGTTCATTATGATTATTAATACGTAAAACTTTATGTCTACAGTTTAGTTCATCGATAGCTAAGATCTTAGGACAAGAATGGGCAACCGTTTCCAATGTCATGATTTCTGGGTGCGCATAAAGCAAGTTTTGATAATAAACATGAGGAATAGTGTAGGATAGAAATATTGTAATTAACTCGATAATTTTTAGAATTTAGTCAATACATTATCATGATCAATTTTCCTTAGTTTTTTAAAAGCAGAATTTGGTACTCTTCTTCCCGTTCTAAATGTTGACTTAATAAATTTTTGTCCCGATCCTATCTCCCGAAGATTTTCCAAACCTTAGAATGTTTACACAAAAGAATATATGCCAATTTGGAAGTACCTAGATATGAACACGCTCTCTCCTCCATGAAATTAACTAAGAATAAGCACCGATCAAGAATATTGGATGAGAATTTAAAGAATTCGGTGATTCTCGCTGCAATAGAGTTAACGCCGAACATAAATAATTTAGTCAAAAGCAAACACGTTCGTAAATCCCATTAAAACGTAAGTTATTTTGCCTTTTTTTATTATTTTTCTTATGTATTTACTGTTTATGAACACGTTTCTGTTGTTAAAATAATTTGGCGTATCTCATTTGAGAGAAAATTGCCACATAATAGAAATGTTTTGCCACACGTGGTTTACAGGCCACATTTAGTAGTGGGTCCTCCGT